TTGTTATTACTTTACTTGTTTCTAGATGTTGGCAGATCTGTTTTTTTATTATCTTTTCCAGTATCTTCCTGGGTATTGATGTTAGGCTGATTGGTCTATAGTTTCCTGGGTCTGTTCCCCCCCACTTTTTTTTTTGAAGATGGGAACCACATCAGCTCTTTCCCAGTCCTCTGGTAGTTCCCCAGTGCTCCAGGATTTTTGAAAGATATGGTGCAGTGGTTCTGAGATGACCTCTGCCAGCTCCTTTAAAACTCTGGGATGTAATCCATCAGGCCCAGGTGATTGGTTTTCATCAAAATCAGACAGGTGTTCTCTTACTATTTTTTTTGCTTATTTAAACTTTTATTTCTGGTCTATCTTTTACAGTTATGTTTTTGGTGGGTTGAGCTATAGTTTCTTTTTTCTTTTCTTGCTTTCTAGCTAATCTAAAAGCAGAGCTGAACCTTCCTTAGGACTGAAGATTCTATTTTTCTGTGCAGACTCAGGTAGCAGTTGCAGAATCATAGATCTCTAAAGTGAATCTGTGATTCTGTGAGCAACTCAAAATGCCTGCCTGCTTTGCCTGCTTTGGGGTAAAAGTTGCTCTTTTTTAATAAAAAAATCAATATTTACATACATGGTGTGTTGTAAGTTAATTTTGTGAGTTTGCTTGCTAGCAAATTTTATGTGACAGACTCAGGTAGCCGACTGAAGAAAGATAGATCTCTAAGTGAATCTGTGATTCTGTGAGCAACTCAATCTGCCTGCCTGCTTTGCCTGATTTGGGGTAAAAGTTGCTCTTTTTTATTAAAAAAAAATCAATATTTACTTAAATATTTATAATATTTACATACAAGCCATGCCCAGCCAGTCACATGACTCCCAGGCCACACCCACAACTTAGGCCACACCCACATAACTGGTTAAGAAATTTGAATCCCACCCCTGTTTGGCTGAAAAAGGATTTAACAGGCCACACTGTAAAACTTGGCAAAAATCCGATTGGGTCCCTAAAGTAAAAGGCACTGACAGGATGAGAGAAAGTGTTAACTTCAAGAATGCAAGAGGAGTGCATAAGATACAACATAAGATGACAACAGATACAAACTCAATGTAAACCTCTCCAAATTTGATTGTAGAAAGTATGACTTCAGCAACAGAGTGATCAATGCCTGATGCACTACCTGTCAATGCACTACCTGACTCTGTTACATCTCTAACCCCCATTCCTTTAACTTCAAACTATCCACTATTGACCTCACCCCATTCCTGAGAGGTCTGTAAGGGGTGTGCATAAGTGCACCATTGTGCCTACCATCCCTGTCCTATTGTCCCCATTTATTTGTACCTATTTCCTATATCCTTACTCATGTTTATACTTATACCTATTATCTTGTAAGCAATTGACAAATCAAATAAATCAAATAAAAATACAATAAAGATAGCTGAGAATGGTTAGTGGTTAGTGGCAGGTGACAGTTAGAAAAACCATTAAAATAGAATTAAAAATCCACTTGCTTAAGTTAAGGCTCTGTTGTACAAGGAAGAGTGATCTTATCTAGCTCACTCCTTCCAGAATATTTTAATAAGCATAAACTTTACCCAATGAACAAAGGTAATTTGGTCACCTGTGTTAACAGTAATTATTTATTATATTAATGCTGATTAACTGCAGTTATAATCTAACCAACCAAATTGAATATTTGTATGCATCATTCCCTGGAGAGGATATATGGTATAACTTCTCCCTCCTCCAGGTATTGGCTATTAGTCTTTGGTACTGTATTGGTTAATAAATAAATTCATACTTCAATTTAAGTATATCTTGGCTTCCATTTAAATATGCCCTTGGTAGGAAGTATTCTACCTCAAAAACCAACTCCAAATCATAGGTTCTGAGTATGATTTCAACAAATTACAGTTGGGATTACCTTGTTGACACTTTCAAAGCAGCACTAAATTGTAATTATTCCAAAAAAAGTCTACTCTTTTCCTTGTGGCTACTCTGGAAAATGAGTGATGTTGGTAAAATGTGCTAATATCTCTGCTCCTTGCTTGTCACAATAAATTCATGTCACTAAATAAATAATAAATTCAATAAATAAATTCATGGCCCATCAAAAATGTGCTACCCTACAAG